TTTTTTTTATTATTACATGTTTTTGACTTTATTGTATTTTATGTCAAGATCTCAAATGGGAAACGATAGCAATAAAGAATTACTTACTTACTTACATAATTACACCCTCTTTTAAATTAACCCTTTGAGACTTTCCCAGCATGGTTTCTGCAACCTCTGGACGCTACAACATAAATTCAGATTGCTCTTGCAATATTAATAACAACGTTAAATTTAATTTAAATATTGGTTATTTTATTATTTATCGGTTTATAAATACAATATTGATAACCTTCTTCATTGTTTTAATAAATGGGTGTTGCATTCTGACCCAACGCTGGATTAGAATCGTAATTTAACAACAGATTTTGTAGCATAAAATAGCATTCAGTAAGACGAAATATTATGGATGAGACGTGGCTAATTTTTTTTATGATATAATGAAGATAATGAAGTTTTAGTTTCAATTAAGTCTAGAAATGTTAAAAATAGTGTCAACAAGTTTGAGTCTGCATCTTTGGGTTCATATTCAACAGTTGTACTGAACTACTATAAAGTTAAACCCCTTTTATTATCTACATATCTACATAACACTGTCAGGTTAGGGTTAAAAGTTGACTCCATCTTACTGATTGATTTCTGAAAACTTAACTTTTTTTACTCTACGCGTTAGGTTTATTTTTACTTCAAAATCAATCGGTCGTTTTTTGTTTTTGTTTTGTTATTTATTATTTGCGGTGTTGATTCGAACAGCATACATACATCTTATTCCGGGAATGGTTAACGTAGCAACTTGGAAAACAAGTTACATTTAATAATTTATCTGTGATTTAGACATTCTATAAAACTTACTAAGCACTATAACAACCTGTACATCCTCCGAATGCTTAGATAATGAATAATGTTATTTAATATGCAGCACCAATGTTTGTCTAAAGGATCACCTAAAGGCAAACTTCGTTAATTGTGCTTTTTCTGCTCCTAATATTGAAAATAACGTTTTTAACCCATTCAGTCGCACTAATTATATGCCGTTCGTAACGCTGTAGGCTAGACGATCGCGTCTCGGTGTTTTCTTTATCTGTTTTTGTTTTCTGTTTACCACCAAGTAACTTCAGACATGCTACGCATGCTATGTCTGTAGACTTCAGCACTGTGAGAAAACCGAGTCAGAAACAAAAAGATCATGAATAACATGGGTATGATCCAGATTATTTTTTATTAGAAACAAATAAGTAGGAAAAAGGGTTCTCGAACACGGAGAAGTCTTTGAGTACGCGAATAGTACGCATGCGCCTTTAGAGGAATACGTTTCGATAATGGCGAAGCAAATGAACATGGATTCGCGCAGATCGTTACTTCACCTATCCAGTACTATTTTCGAGTGTGCGCATGTGCAGTTAACGATAAATAATATAACTACGTGTATTCCAGCATGCAATATTAAACAAATCAAAGTCGCCGATATCGTTTCTTTAATTAAACAAAAAAAGCTGCTTAAAAAAAAAATACATTCGAGTGTCTAAGTATTTCATAGCATAGTCGTGCACACCCATTCATTGCGCAGAATGTAACCCAATGTTTAATCCAAATTAACTTTGTATTTAAATCAATGCATGTTCACCATGGCAATATTTGACAACGAGCACAAACAACGTTCAGGCAAATTAAAGCACCCCATTCGTCGCGCCGTATAAGAATCGATATGGGTCCCATGCAACGCGTGTAACTTACTGCATTACTTTAAACCAAGCGTGAAGTAAATGCACGAGACGCCACAAGAAATTTGAATATTGCGTTGAGAATTACTATAATAGGATAAGCCCCGATTCCTTATACTACTATAATCGTATACTTTCCCCTCATGCAAGTGATATCATAGAGCCGCGTCCGAGTACCAATTTGACGGGTGATGATTGGTTGATTGGATCACGTGTCGACACAGAATAATAATAGATAAATGTTATGTAAAGACAATATGGCAATTGTATAACATGAATTTTCTCATAGGGCAGGTTAATTTATCATACATGAAGCTATGTATTTCCCAGTACATGTAGAGGTTGTCATTCAAAATGGTTTGTATAACATGTAGCGATGTATTCAAAAAAAGCAAATGGGGTGTTATATTTCTCAAAATTGTGTTGTGCGATGAACCCTGTGTGTGCGTGGAAGAGGAAATAAGTCTTGAGTCGATTAGTCGCTTGCATCGTCGCATTATATAGATTTGAATCGGACCGCATTTCTCACTGTTATCTAGCTAGTAAACACGGTCTCAGTGCATATAGTGGCCATTCTTACAATTGATTTTTCAGAATATGAAACAACACAATATTATGATAAGAAAAAAAACACACTTACGGATGATAAAGTGGACTCCACATCATTGAACCGAGCTTCATTTTGACGATACTCCCTGCGCCTCCTAGCGGTCAATAGCGCCTGTATATCCACGTCAATACGAAGACTATTGCCCGTCTGCTGAACGCCAGCCATCGCGGACTCACGGGTTCCCAGAACCACACACAAGACTACAGAGCGATGTATAGCGGAAGGAAGCCTTTGAAATCACAAATCAGCAAACGTTATCAGGATAATTTATCAATTTCCATTAAGAGCGTTTCCCCGTATTGAAAGCAATTTATTCCGTGGCTCCGTTCATTTGTTGCGTTGTTATCAGACAGCGCACTTGAAAGAAGCAAGCCCAGAAGCATTATCCATTACTACGTCTGCCATTGAAACGTATACGTAAGTCAGTCGCCATGTGCCGGGATGATACAGACGTAATCCATAAATGTAGTTTGTATCAGTGTATCGTGAATAACAAGGTAATTTATCAAATATGGAAATCAGGTAACAAGAGTGTCTGTAACACAACGAAAATAGCGGTCATATTACTGAACGTATTAGACTTCATGGCTTTGGCGCAGAAGAAGAAACGTTGATTGACAATAAATAGAGGGTGATTACATTTTAATGAACATACATAATTCTTCATTTTTTATTTGCGAAGTATATCACTTTGTAATACTAGTACACAGTCGTATTCGATATGGTCCCATACGACCTATACAATCCATGCAAAATACATTGTTTAAGGCAAAGAGTGCAATACTTTCGTGTGTATTTAGCATTTATGAAAAGGCAACGATGATAACAAATTGGAGGGTGTATATTATACAATCAATACAATTTTACAACTCGATATAAAGAATTATGATTATTGCTTTTTCGATCTTTATTATCATTTATTTACTATTTACGAGAGTGGTAGGTAGAGGGCGTTTTGTTGTTTCTCTTGGAAAATGATCAAACCGTATACTAGTCCCGGGGGGGGGGGGCTACTTCCACATTAAGTGGGTAAGGGTGTGTAGCCCATCTCTCGCAAACCATGCTCACTTATAAACCGTTTTTTCTAATTATATACCCACTTCTAAACACAAGTGTTTTCAGCGAAAAAAACAACAACAACCAGCTCACAACTTTCGCAACCAGTGAGCGCATCCGGGGGATGCATTTTATTCAGCCTTTTCCGGTATTTGGCTTTGAACATAAGAACCTGTGAAAAAGTAAATAAATGACCACCCACTTCTAAACAAAATAACGTGAAATGACACCCCAGGCCGGGCGGCACATACCCGTTGCACTTCTATGCAAGTAGCCCCCGGGATACTAGTATACCGTTTCCAAAGACCGTGCAGTTATAACAATATACAACCGTACTTACACTCCGTCAATCTAAACAACGCTTGTTTGTTAGTAGCGTCCACACTGACCGGACACTTTGAGAAAAAAAATCAATTTTATTTTATAGTGCTTCATTTTATTCAATTCAGGACCGAATAATTTCTCGATAATGAGAAATCTCTGTAATGAATTAACTGCCAAACGACGCGTTAACAACGCATGATTACCACGTTTGATGGAAAGTCGGAACTCAGTCATTCTCTAAGCAGTAATCCGTGACAGTCGCCGGTTTAAGCATAGGTTGCGCGATGCATGCGAATTCGACCATATACCCTAGGTTTAATGATTCGGACGATATTTCAACACGTATTTCACGCGAACTAGCCAAACGATGCTCGGTCGCGTTTCAGATCACTGAGAATAGCGGCCTAAACGGGGTCAGAGGTCGCATAAACCACTCTCCGTCATAATCAAAATCAAATCAATAAATCAAATGAAAAGAAATTCTGAGATTATCAACTGAAGGTCGGTAATTGAGATGCAAGAAATAATTGGATAACGCATGAAGCTTAACTTCATGGTGGATTACGACAATCTCATGATGTGGTTCAAAAAATGCTCCACACGCAATACAGTGAACGATATAGCAACGATTCAAAGACCATACTGAACGGACGGTTCATACACAGTCACTCTACTAGTAGAGTGATTGTGGTTCATGCGATGTTTATAGAAAAGAAACGCCATTTAGTTTAGCATATATAGATAGCCCTGCTCCAATTTACAACACAACGACGAGAGTAGATTAATTTTATTGTTGACACATTACGTACAATGTGCGTCGACTTATTCTGTACTCGCGAACACAATACTGGCAATGCGCATTGTTTCCTAGAGGCCCTTACTGGCGGAGTGTTTAATAACATATTCATGTTGCACAGTTACTATAACACGCAATATGTCGTACGTCCAAGTACACAGATAGCTTATACGTGACGATACGCGCTATTAATTCCTTTATTACAGGGTTGACTAAATATGTTGAGAAAAAAAAAATAGCAGTGATTTGACTAACCTAATGCAAAGAAACAAAATAAAATACCTTGTAATTTTGAACAACAGTGGTTTAAAACCTCGTAATAGAAATGCCCCGGAGATATTTTCACCAGAATTTAGCAAACTGGGATTCTGACATAGATCTCCATAGTTACGGTTTCTGGCTTACAATCAGAGAATGGATTATGCGTGTATACCGTTGTCAGTGCTAGGTTGCAATCTGAGTATCGCAGTTTCCGGAAACATTCACGAATGGAAAATAATCGTACCTTTTTGTTCAGGCAGCAAGCATTCTTCAACACTGTGGCGGTGAGAACGTACGATATTTAATATAGCGAAGGTCAGTTTTAAACCTCGATCGCTGCGGCATCAACCACATTGCCCCTTTATTCTTTGCGAAGCGACGATACGCGAACGGTAGGATACGAACAAGTGCGCCGCCGCGACTTATGTAAACATGAAACAACACTTTGGCAATATAATACGTCAACCATTATTGCACTTCTACATCTGTTATATAAACAATCGCTGCTTATTAAAATCACTTACCATATATCACACCGAAGGCTAAAAGCTGAGATGGCTTCGACACATACGAGTCTCACATGATAAAATGCGTGCACTATCGCTTCTCAATGTTACACCGTGACCTCATGTGACCCGATACCAGACAATGTCACATGTGCTCATGATATACATACAGCGGTGGTTTCACGCGTAAAATGTATTGCTGCAATCACATGTGGTTTTTACAATGTATTGTGTTCCCTTGAGGTTAAACTCAAAGTTATTGCTGGTTGTTGTGTTAGGAAGGCCAATAGAAAAGATTGAAACGCAACGAAGCAGAATATCACTCAGGCAATGATCTCCAGCCGTGACTTGGTAAAGAAGGGCTTGAATTTCGATTAAATTAATTAATAGACTCAGTATTTGATCGAAGGTTAATGGAAATTTGTTAAATAGTCGTTCTTGCTGTTGTTGTCGCTGTTGTTGTTTTGTCACTGTCCGATGTAAGATCTTTTTATTGGTTAAAATATTAAAATCCAAGCCAGTTTCATTTAGATTTGTAACAGAGCACGACCGTTACCTATAAGTCATATGTACACATGTCACGATTGCTGAAGGGTGAACATAATGGGCCAAGTTCAATCTTGGTGGACGTTGCTAGCATAATTGCTAAACTAAGAAATGGTATTTTAAAGCGCGGAGGTCGTCGGCAGCGCGTGTTCGAATTTCATGTAAATAAACAATGTATTTTACACGCGTTGTATACGTTGCCATGAGTCCCATATCAAACAGGACGCGGCGCGACGACTGCTGCCCTTTAAAGATCAATTACAATCAGATAATCTTCGAACTGTGATATGTTTTGAAACGCTAAATAAAAACCCAACTAAAAATAAGGGTACATTTGCCATATGACTAGTAATTTCTATATGTGTGATTAATCTGCAAACAAACGTGTATATAATAAGTTTGTTGATTTTCGGCGTATTCTGTCGGAAGTTGCAACCTTCATAACAGCAGACAAAGCCAGATAATCATTGCTTTATATACATTTATATTATATGTGTAATCAATTCACGGTTTTAGGAAATATATAGTAGATAATATTTGGTAATCGTTGCCTAGGTAACTATTCAAAATAGTTAGACGTTTCGAGACATAATGTTTTTTCTTGATTATTTTTGTTTTAATGGAAGATATTATATTTGATTTTTCGAAGAGATTGATATCATGTTCTATTTTCTTCTAAAGGTGTTTCAGGTTTCTTTTTAATGACCATGTTTTCCTTTAAATGACAGATAAGCCTGAAGTTAGCATGGTAGACTTATTGCTAGAAGTATGTTGACGACTGTAATCTGAACCAAAGACCAAAACCTATCAAACCAATTCATTTGTAGAAAACATGTGGATTTAAATTGTCAATTTTTTTTTTGTATGTGTAGGCTGTGTTTGTTTCAGGGTAACATGAATACAAATGCTAATGGCATATTCACTGATATTCTTGCTGTCAAAAACACCACTGTAAAGAATGCGTCTTGAAGTATAAATAAGTATTTCGTTCTTTCTAATTATTGTTTCTATAATTTCTAACATAATGATGTTAATTGTGTCTCCACAATCACTAGTGTCACTGTGAGGTCACTTTGTTTTTGCACGACGTTTCAGAAAATACTGGGCACATTCTTGCAAAATCAAAATCGAAAGTGGAGAAAACAGCACTTTTGAGAATCATTTTGTAATTTGGGCGATGTTGTTTCTTATTTTAACACTCCCAGTTAGTTGGATTTATGATAAATAAATAATTCGAAACATTGCCATGTCTGTGATATTACAGCTTAACGGTGTTGGGGGGGGGGGCTGGAGACTTATCCTCTTCCCTTACAAACCATTGTTTATAATGTTCTATACGTTTTGGTAACTGACAAAAACATGCGTACTTGTTATGAGAGAGGAAAAACCTGCATTCTTTTACAGGAAAACAAAATATATTGGACAGTACATACAGTAAAATCCAAAGTGTTTTTAATTAGTTAAAACAATGAAAAAAATTCCCAAAACCTTAAGGTTGTTAGTCTGAACATAGCTACTGTATTTTGGGCTATCATGTCCTGTTACTCCGTCAGGTGATCGTGATTGTGTGAAAACAACAACAACTTCTGAGCGGATTTTGATAACATTTACAGGGATTGCGTTAACCCCATATTTTGCTTCCCAGACTCCAATTATTGAAGAGAGACCCAGTTTTTCAGGCAAGCTGGGGTCCAATCTCTAATAAAGTTATCCAGGGTAAAATTTCTATTTCTTAAAATTCTGTACGTGGGACTCGTCTTGCCGAGACACTAGCGCAAACCCTGCATTTAGTACATAGGCACCAAAAGGTAATGTGCAGACATTAGTTTTAGAGACATGTCTATGCATATTAAGTAGCTCATTTGCATACTCGTTTCACCCTGTGTATGCAAAATTTCAAAAACCTCACAGAAGTACATAGGGGTAACGTGTAGATATGATTAGTTTTGCAGCCGTGACCGTGCATATTGAGTATAATGTCTTATTTCAGCCAGCAAAATCTTAAAAACTTTAGAACAACAATGATTGCACATATTCTGTATTCACACGCGAGAGTTGCAGAGTTTAATTTTAATTGTGCTATCAATCTAAATATACTTTAGTGTGACAAAATATTAACATGCCTAGGTAGTCACAGTCTAGAAATTAATAACCAAGCTAAAGGGCTCATAACCACAATGGTGGACATCGTCTGTAGAAGTATTCGCCTCACTTGTACTTACTGTGTTGTGCTTGTTCTTTGCTACCTACCGTGTGCTATTCAGTACGACGTCCAACCTGGGAATATCGACGAAGATGTGCAATTTAAAGAATTCATCTTAAAACACAGAAAGCCGTATATCGCTGGCACAACGGAATACGAACATCGCTTCCGGGTTTTCCAGGTAAAATATATTGTATTATGGGGGGGGGGGGGCTCCTCACCCATAACCTAAACACTAACCCTATCACTCCAGCCCAAATGTAATTTTATGCCCGTCAGATAACTATACGTGTCCTGAAGAGGGCATATACAATCAACTATACGTGTCCTGAAGAGGGCATATACAATCAACTATACGTGTCCTGAAG